TTCGCTGTTCACTTATATATTCAAATGCAACTCTTTAAACATTTTTTCGTTGATTCCAAGCTAACAATTATACTCTGAGGCCAGACTATTAGATCATTAGCAGGCCGATTGTCCTCTTTATTGCCCTATTAAATAAATACATTTATAAGTGTGTTCGCTTGGCACAATTATTAAATACTATGACGTTTTCCAGTGGCTTTTTAGAGATTATCTAGTATTGAAATGGTTTTAAAGTAAATATTATTTACTGTTACAAGCAGTACACAAGAAATATATTTAATAAAGGTAGAAATATATACTAAACATCACAAGAAATAAAATTCTATTAATCGTGACGTCATAATATGATGGGCGCCGGGCGCGTAACCCTTTGATCTGAATGCCATGGCTTGCTGGCATTCAAATATTCTACATACTTGCGCCGAGACTCGGCTCTGCAGCAACAACATTAGTACCCAAATTGTGCTGTTGTTGTTTCTACGCGCTGCCTTGTAGCAACGACAGAGAAACCCGCAAAGAACACTGTGGCATTTTTAGTCCCTTTTCTTTGCACTGAGTTTCCTATATCCTCATTATGGCTCGCAATCCTTTTGTCGATCAAAACGGGGGATGAAGAACAAATTGGGTTTCGTGCGCACTGTTGTTGTTTTGCAAGTGATTTGTTGTTGCTTTCTATGGTAAATGAGCATTTTTTTTGCGTTTGATTTTGCGTTTGCGGATCAACTCGATCTACGACTCGTGGTTTTTCAAACGGTAAAAAAAGCACAGAGTGTCAATTCAGCTCTTTCTCTTTATTACTCAAGGGAGCACGCTTATGAGTTTTCTAACGATTACAGACGCACTGTTAAACTCAGCATATGGAAATATAATTAACAGAAGCTTTTTTGCGGTACGAACGCAAAAAGGCGACTCTGCTAGAGCGCACTCTTGAGTCTGTTACCGGTAACAGAGGAACTGTTAAATTCACGTGGTCTGGAATTGAAAATTACAGCAGCTGTTTTACAGTACAGACTGAAAAAGACGCGCTGTTAGAGCGCAGTTTCGAGCCTGTTATTTATAACATATGCACTGTTACACTCATCATATGCTCTGTTACCTAGATAGCAGTTGTTAATATGTAAATCAGCCCTGCAATCTGTTAAAAATTATTTGTAAAATAGAATTATGTATTTGTATAATCCTCAAGTATTTGTTCTACCTGTGTATTTGCATGTAGTTTAAAAATTGTTTTTTTTTTCAAGTCAGTTATTTGTCATCTAGTCCGTTTCACAGTCGGATCCATTTTTGTACTAATTATGTCTCTTATATTGCATCGTTAACTACTTATAAGCAACGAAAATAAAATACTTAGCAGATCGTCGTAGCACACGCAAAAAAAAAAGATTTTTTTAAATACTTCATTTCTATCTTCTCTACTTAAAAAATTATATATTAAATCTTTTCTTTATCCAATTGATCAATACTGCCTTTTCTAGCTCCAATATTAGCAGCATCTTTATCAATACATTGCCTACTTTATCTTAAATTTTAAAACGATATCATACTGTATACATGTACAATTCGAACAATGTTATTAACATACTAACTCACTTACAAATTGGGTTCTGGGCTTGGTATTTGCATCCTTTATTTACTATCTGCATCCTTTAATTACTATCTAGCCTTCTGCTAGTCCATATTTAAGTTTCAGGAAAACAGTTCAGCTATACTCATGAGTGTTAATTTGCAAACAGGTCTGCTACTGGCCAACAATTGTTTACCTTAAAAGCTTTTAAGCCTTTCCTGAATTAAGCATGTATTATACATAATTAAAGAATTTTTAGCTCAATGTCCGATCAGTTTTTATACTTAACACAATTAAAGCTGGGTAAAAAGGGCTTAATGGTTTTAAGCGAAAGTTACAGGCAGAAGACGCATTCCATACCCCTTTAAGTATATATGTATATTCTATATCAGCATAAATAGCCAAGTCGATCTAGTTGTGCCCGTCTGTCTGTCCCTCCGTCCGTAAGTATGAACGCATCGATTTCAGAACCTATAGGAGCTAGAGACTTAAAATTTTGAACAAATGCCGCGCAGTAAGAATTTGTTTCGATAATCAATAATGTATTTTGAGCAAATCACTTTGGATTTAAGAGCTGGAGTCGCCAAATTTGACATGTACAGATAATACAGATCTATCGCTATTGTATGGTCAATAAATCTGCCAGTTAGAGATAAAGGAAAAAAAACGTTTTTCAGTTTACCACCTGACTCATATAAATATACCTTACACGCTTTAAATAAGTTATTTGTTGAAAAAGGCTTAAAAACCGCTTAACAAATAATATAAAATGTGTATTAAAAAGTTTATTTATATTAAAAATCTATGAAAACAGCCCTATCGCCTTTTTATACCCTAAACCAATTAAAAACGTCTGTATGTCTGTCCGTCTGTCCGTATGTATGAACGCAAGGATCTCAGAACCTATAAGAGATAGAGACTTGAAATTTTAGATGTAGGTGCTCCTAGTGCCTGCGCAGACCGAGTTTGTTTCCGATAATCGATAAATTACTCCGCTCCCAAGCAATCAATAAAAATCGTCGGGAGCTCCCGACTAGAACCTCTTACTTATTAAATAATGTTCTTAAGAATATTCAATCGTATTAAAGCATCGTTCACTGTTCACTTATATATTCAAATGCAACTCTTTAAATATTTTTTCGTTGATTCCAAGCTAACAATTATACTCTGAGGCCAGACTGTTAGATCATTAGCAGGCCGATTGTCCTTTTTATTGCCCTATTAAATAAATATTTTATAAGTGTGTTCGCTTGGCACAATTATTAAATATTATGACGTTTTCCAGTGGCTTTTTTAAGATTATCTAGTATTGAAATGGTTTTACAGTAAATAATATTTACTGTTACAAGCAGTACACAAGAAATATATTTCATTCTTCCATTTTGTGCAATTACAACGAGTTCGTCATGCTGTCGAGACAAGCGAGTTGACTTTATTAGTTAAGGGATGCCGGATTTCGTCCGCTTTAACTATATAGTACAGTGCATCTGCAATAAACAAGTGAAAGTCTAGCATTCATATATTCTATTTATAGTCACTTAGATACTAAGCCACTGTCCCAGCACCACATGTGCAGAGACATGACTATATGTGTAGGCTGGAAAAACACGCTGGAAAAAAATAAATTTGTCTTGTAACATATAACTGTAATAATATGCTAGCAATATAAAAAAGGAATAAAAACAATTAAGAACAGAAGTCGGGTGTGCTCGATTAGGTCCTGTACCAGTTATTATAATAATTTAGTTTCTTTAACCATAAAATACGGCCCAGGTATTTAAAGATGCATTTATGCACACAAACACATCTGTGCGCCGAACTGCTTATATATATATATATATTCAACATTAATTTTCCAATAGGGTAGCGCAGGCGGAAGAGGCATATATATATGTATATACATATCGTCATTTATTCATAATTTGCATTTGTAACGAGATATCAATATAAAATGGCCAATCTTATCTCTCCGGGTTTCGCATAAACATGCGATCGACGCATTCATACACATGGACAGACAGACAAACGTGGGTAAATCCATTTAACTCTTCGTTTGAACAATAATAGATTTACATGTATATTTTAGGTCCTTGCACATGTTTTCTTCTGCATGTAATATAAATCTAGGCAAATGCAATATCCCAAGTCTCACCAATTTTTCCTGGCAACAGAATTTAATCAAGTCAAATAAAAGAATACAAGAAATTCAGTATTTGGTCAATATGTTTTTAAATACAGAAATTCAACCAAATGTTAAGTTCTTCTCTATGTCGCTTACACTGCTCTTTACAGTAGAGTAAAAATAATAGCTGCCGATTTTGGTCAAAATATCTTGATAAGCAAACGTTGTATGCCAGAACCTACTTTTTCAGCAGATATAGCGGTGTGATCCAACCGCTTCCGCCTGCAACAACTATGTAAGACGACATAAAAGCTAAGAATATTTATTGTATAGGACAGACTGGACCGGACCGGACCGGACACAGTTATATAGACTTGACTATTGACAGATCAAATAAATATATATGTTAATACTAGCGGGTATAGCCTTGCCTTGCTCGTGGCACTTATATAATATAATCAATGTTCTCAAAAAGCTTTGAAAATGATATTGAAACTGAGCGGGTGGTAAATAAACTACTCTTATACGAACGTTTTCCGTCAATATTGCCACTGTTGCGAATGGAATTTCCCAAACCGCTGAAACACGTTTTCATTATATTCTTAAGTAGAGCTTTGAAAATAGGGTTGATGCAAATCGAGCTCAACTTAAAGTTAACAAAAAATGTCTTTTAAATGCACTTCCACCGGAGGAGTTTAGATTTTTCAAAAAATGTGAAACACGTCTCAAATGATTATACCCTGAACCCATTAAAAATGGGTATAAGGGTATATTGTATTTGTGCAAAATCCAAATGAATGTAACAGGCAGAAGGAAGCATCTCCGACCCCATGAAGTGTATATATTTTTGATCAGCATCAATAGCCGAGTCGATCTAGCCATGTCCGTCTGTCTGTGCGTCCGTCCGTATGTATGAACGCAAGGATATCAGAACCTATAGGAGCTTGAGACTTGAAATTTTAGATGTAGGTGCTCCTAGTGCCTGCGCAGATCGAGTTTGTTTCCAATAATCGATAACTTATTCCGTTTACAGGCAATAGATAAAATCGATATCGATATCCTGTTTTTTGGGCAATTTTGGTAAAAAATAAGAGCTAGTGTCCCCAAACTTGATATATAGCTTCTAAAATAGAATATATATATGCATTTAATGTTGGAAAAAGAGGGTTCAGGGTATCCCCTAGTCGGGAGCTCTCGACTAAAACCTCCTACTTGTTTTTTATGTAGATCCATGGAAAAGAGTTTAAGGGCACTCACCAAATCTTTGACTCCCATTTCCACCGAAAGGGAATACATTTTTGGAAAATTGTGAAACACCCCTCAAATAAATTATAATAAAGATCTTTCTAATTGAGTTTAAGGACGATCGGATGGCAAGCAAAAAAGTTTCATACAAATGTTTTTCGCGATTTTTTCGTAGGGCAACTACAGTGAAAATTTCAGATTCCTAGCTCTTACGGTTTGGTCTGTGTGTTTATCACCAATCAATCAACAGGACAAACAGTTTTATATATAGACATAGTTGTGATGAGTAGATACATTTAGAAACATTTAATCATATTTATATTAGAGGATATTCATTATCTGCTTTTGCGTTGCGATATTGAATTAAAACAATCCGAAAGAACAGATTTTAGAAAACCTTACTTTTCTTAATAAATGCATGCAATATTTGAACGAATACACAAAAATAACTGAGTATGCTATGAAAAACAGACAGAAATACTATTAATTTAAAGGGGCGGGGTGAATTATCGGTAACTACATAAACACTTGATGCATCTAATTCTCATAGTTTCTGAGATCACGCTTTCATACAGATAGATAGACAGAAAGATAGGCAAACGTACAGTGCCGAATTTATTGATTTATCGGTTTGAATATTTTATGCTTGTTATATTTATATATTTGTTTATTTTTATTATATTTTTTCTCTCACAACAATAGGTAAAAGGAATAGTCAGTGGACTATGGGCAGAAAATGCATTTTTCTTTATTCATAAATGCGTGTGCATATGTAAATGACTGTGGGTCGATATTTTAAAAATAGTATTCAGATTCCTAAAGTAGTCATGCCTGTATGGGCATCAACATGACGGCTCAGTCCCTCTTTCTGTTCCGCACCCCCGCCATTGCTTTTTATTTGCCACCCTCACTCTTTTGTTAATGGTTTACGAGCAACCGAATGGTCGTGCGCAGCTATCAGACGTTGACTCGGACTCGGGCGATGGCCTTGGCAGGGGCGTTGGAATGGTGTTCCTTTTGTTGCTGCTTCTGCCTGCCTCTTCTTCTGGTGGTGAGTATTCGTACTCTGGAAGAAACAAGATGGTTGGCCGAGCGAAGGACTGACAAAAATACATACATAAGTATGTACACAAATATAATTGTGAAGCGCCCATTTCGCTGTGCACCCTCTTCATTATCCAGAGTTTGGTAATTTGAAAAAGAAAAAATACAAGCAACAAGAAAAATGAAACAATCGCTGTAATTGCTTACCCAATAGCTATAGCTACACAAGCATTTTGATGTAGAGAATTTTCTATAAAAAATGGTAGAAATCGTAAAATAAATGTATGCTAGTCTTTTTTTTATTTTTAAAAGGTCCTCACAAAAGAAAGTTGCGTAACTAAAAACTGTGTGAGGGCTTTTTCTAAATAATGCATTCTAGTGTATTTAATTGAGAATTATTTTTACAAGTACAGAAATGAGCAATAAAATGATCAGCTTTCATTTTAAATGTCTTAATTTAAAAATCTAAAACTATCATCAGTAAATAGAATAATAGTATTGTAATTCTTAAATGGCTTTTTCTCAATGAGCAATTTTGTATGACTAATCATACAGAAGGGACTTTATAAAATACTTTACATTAGTAGGATTCATCCTCCGCTATCGCCAAAATTTCAAAAGCCAAATACACTCTTAAATGCCATATTTATAAACTACAAAATGTATAAAGTTTGGACAAACAACCAACAAAAAAATAAGCTTAAATAATGATAAAGTTAATTTATGATAATGTTCAAATCTCTACTTTTGAACCACAAACCCATAATAGCCATTAAGATGTTATAAAGATACTATACATAGCTTTACCTGCTTTAATCATTTAACTGCTTCTATTGCAGTCTTTTAATAACTTTGACTTATATACAAAATGCACTCAAAAAATTACAGACTGCAACAAAGAGGGGGATCTATGCATAATATGATTAAAATTCACTTAACAATTTGTTTTTCCTAAGTAGGAAAATCGCTATTATATAAATATTGTTCCACATTTAAAATTAACTGTCTCAACAAAATAAAATGTTGGTATTTTTTTTTCTAAAAAATATCTCTAATTAAACATTTTTTAAATTTAATTGATATATGTTAATCGAATGTTGAATATTTATGAAAATTAGACAGCTAGGAGATATTTTCTCCCATGCGTATTATGAATCACAATATATTGGAATATATTATGTCCAACTTTTTTTTCATTTCGAGATTTATCTCGTTATATATGTATGCACAAACGAATCACAATTTTTTTTATATCCATGTAGAAATTTATGTATTTGTTTATTTATAAATATATATTTATGATCTAACAATTTGTATTTTCTATTAACATACAGTTGTTGCACAGTGTTTTTCGTTTTTTCTTGCGTTCACTTGTAAAGCTCAGAGCTTCAGCTTTTTACATATGTTCGACTTCAGTGTTGAAATCAGAATGAATCGCTTGGTCAAATAGCGGTTACACAATGTTTTTGCTTTCAGTCAAAATCCACATTGCTTATATTCTGCTTACATTCGCTTACACATGCTCAACCGACGTCGCATGTGTGTCATGCGAGGATGATGAGACGAGAAAACGCTCTCGCACTCTCTACAGTGTAATGGATGGGCTTGTCAGGGTTACTGAGGAGTCACAACAATGAAGCATTTAAATGGAAAGGGTCTCTAAAAATTGAAATACTTTGAGAACCAGTGGCCGGCACTCGAATTTACTCGAATACGCATATGCAGTATTTGATCCGACCGGTTTGACCAGTTTGTTTTAGGCAATAGGCAATCGGCCTCGTCCTCGGCCACGGCCACGTCTCTCATCCATCGGAGGCCGATAGTATGCAAATTTAAATGACTGCCTACAACTGACCTATGCAGGGCCGAACAGGACAACTCCAATGCCAACCCCCTTCGATCGTACTTTTCAATAGTCTGCTGAGCCAAAGTATTATGCAGTGGCCTCTACTGACATGTAATGTGGCAAAACTAATTTAAATACTTGCCGCGGCAGTTTTTTCCGCATCGGAACCTAATGTCCTGTCGTTGTCCTTCGCGTAAGCATACCCTACCCCAATTCCTGCCTTATACCGGTCCAACTATGAACACGATGACAGTTACCATGGGAAATCGTGAGAAAACCAGTTTTCCAGGTGTGCCCTTGCCTTGCCGTTGCCTTTGGCCGCCCAGTGGGCCAGAAATGTCCGGTCGGTCACCAACACCAAGTTAACAGGCAACGCAGCTACTTCAAAGAATTCCTCACATCTTGCTTAAATTGCAAAGCAATCCATTTGCTTGCTTATGTGGAGGGTTAACCGAGGGGTTTAAATGTCTCGAAGGGTGCCCAGTACCTCAGCTAATATTGATTTACATAAATGTGTGCATGTATAAATACGTGCTTATTTGGTGAGGCAGGCAAATATTGCGAAGCAAAAAATATTTAGATTAGTTATAGCTATTGTATTTATGCAAACTCGACTTTAAGTTTGAAAGCATTTTTATTTTAAAACTTTTTAGAGGTCTGTCTACGTCGTTTTTGAGAACATTTCTCATGTTTTAGAGCTGGAGTCAAAAATTTGAAACCTTGCTTCTCTAATAAACACAGATTAAGTATATTTCCTTTTTATACCCTGAACCCATTAAAAATGGGTATAAGGGTATATTGTATTTGTGCGAAATCCAAAAGTGTGTAACAGGCAGAAGGAAGCATCTCCGACCTCATAAAGTATATATATTCTTGATCAGCATTAATAGACGAGTTGATCTAGCCATGTCCGTCTGTCTGTCCGTCCGTCCGTCCGTCCGTATGTATGAACGCAAGGATCTCAGAACCTATAAGAGCTAGAGACTTGAAATTTTAGATGTAGGTGCTCCTAGTTCCCGCGCAGATAGGGTTTATTTCCGATAATCGATAACTTACTCCGTTTTCAAGTAATCGATATCGATATCCTGTTTTTTTTTGGCAATTTTGGTAAATAATAAGAGCTAGAGTCACCAAACTTGACATATAGCTTCTAAAATAAAATATATATATGCATTTGATGTTGAAGGAAGAGGGTTCAGGGTATCTCCTAGTCGGGAGCTCCCGACTAGAAACTCTTACTTGTTTTAATACTGACCCAAGCATCAATATCAGCTAAATAAAAATTCGAATTTCAAACACCAACGAATATTCAAAAAATATCATCAAATTCGGTTAAGAAACAAAATTTCGTTGAAAAAGTCGTGTAGTGATATTAATAAATCTCGTTGCATTTATTTATGCAGACGTTCTAATTATACCTGAGCCCATTAAAAATGGGTATAACATATAAATATATATATTGTATTTGTGCAAAAGCCAAATGTATGTAACAGGCAGAGGGAAGTATCTCCGACCCCATAAAGTATATATATTCTTGATCAGCACCAATAACCGAGTCGATCTAGCCTTGTCCGTCTGTCTGTCCGTCCGTCCGTCCGTCCGTCCGTCCGTATGTATGAACGCAAGGATCTCAGAACCTATAAGAGCTAGAGACTGAAATTTTAGATGGAGGTGCTCCTAGTGCCTGCGCAGATCGAGTTTGTTTCCGATAATCGATAACTTACTCAGTTTCCAAGCAATCGATAAAAATCTAGATCAATATTATGTTTTTTGGGTAATTTTGGTAAATAATAAGAGCAAGAGTCCCCAAACTTGACATATAGCTTCGAAAATAGAATATATATATGCATTTGATGTTGGAAGAAGAGGGTTCAGGGTATCCCCTAGTCGGGAGCTCGCTACTGGAACCTCTTACTTGCTTTATAAATAGAACTGCAAATAAATTAATTGTAATTGAAATAAATATTGAGTGATCTTCTTTTCGGTCAAAATTTACGCATAGCAGTCGTATGTATTTTTTTTTTAATTTGTTATATATAATTTTTAAGGTAGATTAACTTAGCGCAAAGCGCGTGCTGTTTATAGGTTTGGAAGGTTCAGGAAGGAAGGTCTTGGAAGGTTCAGGATGTTCCTTAAAATACTCAATACACTTTTAAAGGGACCTGATGTTTGGGTTATTTTAAAATAAAACAAAATATTTAACTAAAATTAAAATAAAACAATTTAAGGATTGAGTTGAATATTGGGCCTTAGTCGAAAAATGTTGTAGCTTGTTTCAATGTTTGTAGCCTTTACATATAAAAAGACGCGTGGTCTACCATCGCCTAAAAAGCAGAATATCGATATCGATTTGTATCGATTGTTTAGAAACGGAGTAAGTTATCGATTATCGGAAACAAACTCGATCTGCGCAGGCACTAGGAGCACCTACATATACAATTTCAAGTCTCTATCTCTAACAGGTTCTAAGATCCTTGCGTTCATACATACGGACAGGCGGACAGACAAACAGACGGACATGGCTAGATCGACTCGGTTATATCTGCTGATCAAGAATATACATACTTTATGGGGTCGGAGATGCTTCCTACTGCCTGTTACATACATTTGGATTTTGCACAAAGACAATATACCCTTTTACCCGCATTCAATATAAGAACAGGTCAATAGACTCACTAGTTATATCCGTTTAGTATAAGAGTATTAATTTCAGTATGTGCGTTGAACAATTTTTGGACAGGGAATTTTGTTTCATGACTGTGTTTGGTCCATTTTATGATTACACATAAAGCTATCCCCAAATTTAGCTTTCTTTTCACAGAGTGACAAACATATAGCTTGCTTTTTCTGCGTGACTGTACTTGTTACACCATTGCTATTGAATTTGTGCGGCCCGCTGTCCTATACCCCAATTTCTTGTTCCAGCCCACACCATTAATTTCAGTACTGCCATCGCCATCGCCATAGTCATTTCCATCGTACCACCACCCTGGCCCGGCCGAAGCGGGTGATTTAAAAATTTAATGCCCCACGGCTATTAATGGTTGAAAATGCTTGTGTAATAAAACAAAACGACGATGTAGGTGGTGGGTGGTAGTGGTCGGTATGCGCAGGACGCGGGATGCATCTAAAAACCGACCGACCGCCTAAAACTGGAACGCACAAAAAGTGACAAGAAGGGAAGCAAGAAAAATCAAAAGAAGAAATAAATATGGCGCGCGTTTGCAAAATAAGAAATTTTAAATTCAAATATTGATGATGATGATGACGATGATGATGACGCCTGTGACTACGAACGACGCCTTCTGTACCTCCTTCTCTTAAACCCACTATCGTTGACGCCCAGCCTAAGATCCTTTCGGCGCAGTTCAGAGCAGCTCGTCGATGGCGTTCGGCCATAACGCAGTGAAACACCAATTTTTCTTTGGCTTCCAAGCTGGCCTCTGCCTTTTTTGCGCTGTCGACGGTATGGAGTCAGTTGACTCTGAACCACTGTCGGCCGTTCTGGATTGAGTTTTGACAGAGTGGGTTTGGCGGTGGGAAGATGTTAAATTGCTCTCCTTACGAAGCGAATTGTGCTTTGTATCTAACCTAGCAATGGAGCTGTCGTCGCTGGTGGTTGGTTTTCTTATTTATTTAAATTCTTTTTAGCTTTTTTACAAACCAAGCGAGGACGACGTCGAGAGCGAAGTCGGGTCAATACACAAAAATTATAGGAAAAAAATTCTTCTTAATCTACCAGCTCTTAATAGTACAAGAAATAGAAATAATTAATTTTAGTTTTTATTACAAATGCGTAATTGTGTGTAAGATAAGATAATATTTAAAAATCTTTACTGAATCAGGAAATTCGATATCGTCATGTGTCATTGTCGGCTTTGGAATGTCACAGACCTAATGTTACTAAAGATTTTGCTGTTGATATTATTTAATAGCTGTGTAATATAAAATATGACGTGTAAGATAGAGATAGAACATGTAAGGTTAAATTTCTCACGAGCGGGAAATAGGCGTAAAATTATTGTCTAATCTATATATATTATATAAAAAAATGTATTTTAAAACTTATAACAGTTACGGTCCCTAGTACGAACACATTCTATTTATCTGCTGGACGAGCTGAGTAGATAATTTTTACAGCCGGGATTTTCGTGCGTCAGGTACGATCAAATTTCGTATAATTAATTTATTTACATTTTTTTAGACTTCCTCCTGTTCTCCCTAAAACGACCGTGAAACTCTCGGAAAATATACATAGTAGTAATTAAATAAACTATTTCTAAGTGTGTATAAGTTAGAGAGGAAGAACAGCAGTCGCTAAATTAAAACACGTAGCTTGCGCAACAGACGCCTTGTACTAAGTGTAATTGTAAATATAAGCAATGTTCTAAGCCGGTTTTAGTTCAAGCCAGTTAAAGCCCATAATATCAATACCGACCAACAAAAATAAGCCCTAACCCAAACAAAAATATAGTTATATAAAAAATGGTTTGACTAAGACCAAACTTTTTGAGACGTTTTCAATATTTAAGCCCTGAATCTATTGAATATGGGTAAGAAGGAATAATGTTCTTGTTGAAAAATTTATTTTCGTTCATTGGATAT